AAGAGCCAAGGTATAGTCGAGGATATTTTAACAGGGACATATTTCTACGAATTCTCTTAAAATGGGTTTATTAATAGATCTGAGAGATGGAATCGGTTGATGAACTTTGGAATGCTAACGGATGGAATTTGCCAATATCCAAATTCATATTTTTCTAAACTAAATGGAAAAATTGTAAGAAAGTAATTTCAGTTCGGAATTTTGGAAGTAATTCCAGTTCGAAATAACTGCAGAATTATATAATAGGTAATCTTTATTAAAAATATCACCTGAGAAAAATGCAAATGCAAACTCAGGCCTGATCGATTGATAAATGACACTAAAATTCTAAAAATACAAAAAAAGGGCAATAACAAAAGTGGGTCTGTCCCATCGAATCAGTTAGGGGGCAGGTGAAGAGATACTTTATTTTGGTTCAATTTAGAGATAATTTTACACATTTTATATGAAAAACTCATTTTTGTCGGTCTTTGTGATAAACGGAAAAATGAAATTGCTCATCACAAAAAGGGGCCCAGTATTAGCAATAGTTTCGAGATATGGCTGTAATCACACCCTCAGCCATGCGGGTATATTTTTTTTAAACGGCAAAAACGTACTTCCTCCGAAAATCGGCTTTAGGGCCAAGGTCTCTTTCGACAAAATCCAATGTTTACGTAGCTCGTAGGTAAGAGGGTAAACGACTGGATGATAAAGAACTATGATGCAGCGATGCCAGGTTGTTTACGATCGGTACTCCGATAGTTGATGTGAAGTGTGATTAGCCGACGTTTCGAAGGTTTCGAGGTACTATTGGGAATTACGAATTATAATGTTTGTGTTCGTCATGATGCTGGTGTCCGGAAAGTTGATTCTCTGAATAAAATTGGGAAATTGTGAGTGATCGCCAGATTTCAATTGGCTCTCCCACACCAATTAAGAGAAGAATTACGATGTCTGGGTTCTGGGATGTCGGTTTTCGGGATGCTGATGATTTGAAGGTAATCAGGTATAATAGTTCGCGGACTGCAGTTCTTCATAGGCGTGCCTTAAAATCGCCGTCTTCTTCTTTGAGGTCGTCGTCTTCATAAGCTTGCCTGAAGATCGTCGTGTTCATCGGCGTGCCTTCAGGTCGTCGTCTTCATATGCGTGCATTGAGGACGTCGTCTTTAAAGGACTTGCCTTGAGGTCGTTGTCTTCAAAGGGCTTGCCTTAAGGCCGTCATGTTGATAGGCGTTCCTTAAGGTCGTCGTCTTCATAGGCGTGCCTTATGGTCGTCCTCTTCATAGGCATACCTTGAAGTCGTCGTCTTAATGGGCGTACCTTGAGGTCGTTGTGTTCATAGGCGTGCCTTGAGGTCGTCGTCTTCATACGCGTGTCTTAAGGTCGTTGTATTCATAGGCATGCCTAAAGGTCGTCGACTTCATAGGCGTGCCTTAAGGTCGTCGTCTTCAAAGGGCTTGCCTTGGGGTCGTCGTATTCAAAGTCTTTGCCTTGAGGTCTCTATAGGCGTGGCTTAAGATGTCCAGGTCGTCTTAGGTTTTTCGGCTTCGGCAGCTCACTGTGGGTATGTTTGGGAGCAGATGTTCAGGCCTTCTGAAATGGATCTGAGACCGTTTGGGGTTTGGCAGCTTACCGATGGGTAGGCCTTCGCAGATAGATTTAAACTTGTTCGGGTTCAGCAGCAATGGCTAGGAAACTATTCTAGCTAGCACTACGAACTCCTGTGGAACAACAAGCCGGGGCACCTGTGTAAATAAATGGCCGGTCACTCAACTTAATGAGAGAAAGTTAAAAAAATATTCCCAGCTAACGATTCTGTTATTCAGAGAACAGAAAATGATTCAGAAAATCACTAACTACCCTTTGGAAATCTCCTGCAGTAGCAAGCCTGCCTCATCCTAACCTAAACTGAACACTATACAGGGTGAGATTAAAAAACTGCAACAAACTTCAGACTGCTGTCATTTCTAAGCCACTTGTCCGACAGCTGTTAAAATTATTCAGTGACAGCTCATTATATTGTTTACAAGCATAAAAAAAACCATTTTGGTGAGAATTTTCCAGAAAAAAGTTATTCGTGATAGAATTCAAGATTAAAAGTGAGAATTCTTTACATTTGGCTGGAAAACAACAAGTGGCTATCGTTAGAGCACTCCAGCATTTAAATGTGAATAAATCGTTTATGTCTCGTACCATTACTCGTTAGGAAGTGGACGGAAGAAAACAGCAACATCAGCAAAAATTGACAAAAATTGAAAAATAAGCTCGGGCTAAAGCAATTAAAATTCCAAAAAGTGCAAGAACTACACCGCAACAGAAAGAAAAGAGACTCAAAAGAGCTAAAGAGTTGCTTCGCTTGGCCGAAAAAGGTGGACTGCCGAATTTGGTTTTCTCAAATGGGAAAACATTTGTTGTCCAGCAGTTTTTACACAAACAAAACGATAGTATTTACTTGCCAATAAGGTCAGATGTCAGAAAATGTGCTCCTTCGGTTGGCCACCAGAACTCAAGCGCCGGCCATGTTTTTAGTGTGGGCTGCCATAGCAGCCGATAGTCGCTTTCCGCTTGTATTAATTGACCATGACATCAGAATAATTGCCGAATATTATTGCGAAAATATTCTGGGGGGTGTATTAAAGCCTTGGGCACGCAAACATTTTGGCCGCAGACCTTGGACATTCCAACAGGACTCAGCATCATCGCACTCAGCACTCGCCACCCAAAAATGGTTACAAAATGAGTTTTCTCGCTTCACTTCCAGCACACAATGACTACCAAAATCTCCGGATACCAATCCGTTTGACTATTGTGTCTGGAGTATTTTGGAAAGCAAGGTTGGCACTAAAGAATACCAAAGTGTCGATCACCTCAAGCAAGTGCTTCGCCGGAAATGGACTAAACTACTACAGAGCAACATTTGGGCAGAGTGTGACGGTTTCATTGTAAATGTAATAGTAATTATTTGCCCTATGCGGTAAACGGCATATTTATAAAAGCTGAAAATTCCATTATAATGCATTATCACGTTACTACCAGGTAGATATGTTAGGTGCGATATCGTAGCCGAAACTATTACCATTAGCCCTATAACATGAACCTCTTGTTTTCAGATGGGTTCAGATGTTTATTGCCCAAATTTTTTTGTTATAAGTAGTGAGAATTTCTAATTTCCAACTTTGAATGAAAAAAAAAAAAAAAATCAAAATTATTCCTTAGAACTTTATTTTTGATGCGTTTTCAGATTCCGGAGAATGAAAGTCAATATTCGATTATGGCGGATTTTAACCAGTTTCAATAAAAAAAAATCGCTGGCGAAAATATATTTTTCCTTCGACAATTGCTCTTCACTGCGTCAAAACAAATAAACAACAATATGTGTGTTCGGTAGAAAGAGACTAACCCACACACAAACACTCGCACACTTCAACTGTGTGTAGTACATAAAAATAAGAGTTGTTGCACGATGTTGCGTGTGTATAGTAGTGTGTAAGTATGCCACACTTTGAGAATATGTTTTTTTTTTTGTTCCCCCCTTCAGCTTGACTAGCATTTTCATGGAACGCCGTTGTTGTTTTTTATTTTTGTCACAATACGACAACTGTCATTTGTCTGTCAGTTATCCATGGCTTTTACTCAGTAAACACAAGAACACACACACAGAGACACACAGACACATCGAGTGAGTCTCATATATATGTAGGGGTATATATTGTCTGTTCGATTTGCTCCTTCGTTTTTTTTCGTGTTTTTTGCCTTGCAATACTGTCACATTATTGTTATTTTCGCTGGCATTTCTGTTGATGTCAAAGATTCCTTTGCAACAATAAGAAACTATGCATCTGCAGCTGTGTCAACGTTAAAAGGTTATGGATTGAATGGGGGATCTGAGACTTATTGTTCCACCAAGTTTTCGATGTTTTTTTTTTTTCTTTGCTCTTTTAATGTGAACAAAATATTGCGTTCATCTGGTGAATTAACATTGGAAATTGCATGGCAATTTAAAGGGGGGGGGGGGGGGGGGGGGGGGAAAAAGAAGACGGAACTAATAAAAATCACTCGATAAGTAATTGATGTTCGTGCAATGAACGTATAATTTATATGCAGCTAGACAACACTCATACGTCACAGGGAGGATATCAGTCTTCGAAATTATATTACTTGCAAATATAAATCTAATATTATGAGGAATTCCATACAAATATTTGGAATGAGATATATAGAAAATTTAACTGATATCCTCCATACATAAGGTCCTGACCTCCAAACATTTTTCGGTAAAAATTGGATAGCAAAAATATTATTTAAATTGGTGTTGTGCCACTCTAGTTCCGTGGAACGATTTGGTTCTATATCTAGTTCCGTGGCCTCAGGTCGTTTGTATGAAAATTCTGCGTATGAGTGATATAAAATATATAAAATCACTCATACGTTTAGGAACTGGTGTACGCAACTATGAACTATATTGGGGTAAATTTAGTTTAAATTCTGGATAGATATGGAGAAGAGGACCTATAAGTACAACAAAAATCAAAAGGAATTTGCATTCCACATGGGGACCAATATTTTTAAAAATATGACCATGATAAGTTTTATAAGCTTCGAGGTCTTGGGTAACAATTTTATCATTTTGAAATTTTTTTGCCATAAAATAGCCAGGAGCTACTGCCTACATCTTAAATTATGACCAAAATCTGCAAAACTAATTTTATTTATATTTTTAATTTTTACCAAATTTCCTGAAATCGATAAAAAATTACAACGAACGAGACGTATGTAAATCGATTTTCAAAATTAATTTTTTTATTACATTTTGTTTATCACTGCTCTGCCCCAGAGCTTCTAGAATATTAAAAAATTATACCATGACTACCGATTTTTCCTTTATGACATCGAAAAAAATTGCAAAACTAGTAGATTCTTGCAGGTTCTGGAATAGAGCACACATTTCTATTCCAAGCTTCTCAAACCTCATTCCACTGGTTGAATAGTAAGTATAATTTCTTTTTAATATTACTCACCTTGTATGATCCTAAATTTTTAACAGAACACGCCAATTTGATATTGCGTCCAGCAGGTACGGTTACATTTTCAATGTATTCAGTAAATTCGGGTTCTTCTGTAATGGCTGTGGGAAGAAAGGATAATAAGGAGAAAAAGAGAGAAAAAAATTAACAATAAATCAAAAAAAAAAACTAATTGCAAAAAATACATTAACAAGAAAATAAAAAAAAAATAAATTAAAAAGTGAAAATTAATTAATTAAATTTTATCTGAAAATTGAAATTTTTTTTCTTTCCTTAAAATCACCACAAATACATTCTTCCCGCTGAAGGAGTCATTGGAATGTCTTCTCTCCAAAAAGACTTACAAAACACCTCCACTTCATCAAAGTCATTAAAATGGATTTTCCTTTATAGAAGATTATGAAGCGGTTCATAGAAGTCCTTCGAGTGTACTTCTCGCTATGGATGACCTTCGAGAGGTCCTATAGAATACTTTTAAGGGACTTATTTATAGCTGAATTCTGTTTACAGACGACCTTAAACGGTTACTGTTTTTAGAGCACCTTCATCAGGTTTTATATCTTTAGCAGACTTTTAACAGTCTTTCTAGGTAGTCTTATTTTTAGAGAAACATTTCTCAAGATCTTTTAGAGGTATTTCTTCTATAGAAGATCTTCCGAGGCTATCTTTCTATAGAAGACCTTAGAGAGAATTTTTAATGGAATACCTTCTATCTATGGATATCTTCTTTCTTTAGAAGGTATTTTTCTACAGAAGTATTTTTTCTAAAGAAGTCCCTCTAAAGGTCTTCTTCCTATTTAAGGCCTTGGTGTCTTCTTCTTTTTATAGAAGATTTTCTAGAGGTATTACATCCTAAAGAATACCTTCTAGAGATCTTCTTCCTATAGAGAACCATCCACAGGTCTTTTTTATAGAAAAACTTCCAGTGGTCTTCTTTTTCTAGAAGACCTTCCAGAGGCCCTCATTCCATTGAAGGTCTTGAAGTCTTCTTATTTTTATAAAAGACCTTCTAGAGTTCTTTTTCCTATAGAAGACCTTCTACAGATCTTCTTCCTATTGAGGACCTTCTAGTGATATTCTTCCGGTAGAAGTCCTTATAAAGGTCTTCTTTTTATAGAATAGCTTTTAGTGGGGTGCTTTCTATAGAGGAGCTTTTAGAGGGCCGTCGAGATGTTTTTTTTATAGAAACCTTCTTACTTTAGAAGACATTCGAGAGGTATTCTTTCAATAGAAGACCTTCAAGAGTTCTTCGTTACATAAAAGGTATTCTTAAGATTATCTTTTTATAGGAGACCTTTCAGAGTTCTTCCATCTGTAAGAGATTCGAGTTTATTTGTGTCTGTTGAGGTCCTATTGAACAACTATTTAAACCCATAGAGACTTACAACTATAAAGATGTTTTTTTGTCTATGGAAGAAGAAGTTCTTCCGTATATAGAATTTTTTGAGAGGCATTCCGTGTATAGAAAACCGTTTAGAAGTTTTGAGACTAAAAAAGATCTTCAAGACGTCTTCTGTTTATATAATTCTATTGAAATGTCGTCTGTTTTTGCAAAACACCTGAGAATTCTTTTCATTATGGTAGACTTTTAAAAAGCCGTTTTCCTAGAGGTGACCTTTAAAAAATCATCTCCCCAGCGAAGGTTTGGTTGACGAGGAACCCAAGGGGTCTATAGGCTTTATTGTCTCTTAAAGAAAAAACTCTCGAAAAGTCTTCTTTCTAAAGAATAACTGAAGAAGGCTTAATTCATATGGGGGGTTCCTCTCTGCAAAAGACCTGAAACAGATCTTTTCTTCATTAAAGTTCTAAGAATGGTCTTCTCTCCGTAAGAGACATTTGGGAAATCTTCTATCCTAAGCAGAAATTCGAAAGGTCTTCTCTCCACAGAAGATGTGAAAGGTCTTGGAAGCGTCTACTTTCTAGAGAAGGGCCTCAAAAACTCTTCTCTCTTTGAAAGGATTTCAAAGGATGTCCTCTCTATAGAATGGTCAGCAAACCTTAATCCAGAGGTCTTCTGTTTATATTTTCTACATAAATGACGTTCAGATGGGGATATCCCTGTTGAAGACCTGTCTTTACTTCATAAAAGCCCTTTGAAAGATCTTCTTTCCGTAGAAGACCTTTGGAATGCCTTCTCTACAAATCAGACATTTGAATCACTTTTCTTCACAGAAGGCATGGGAGACTTTTAAAGGGTCTCCTTTTAGAGACGTTATTTTAACAATATACTCTATTTGGAATACCTGTGACGGTCTTTCTGCCTATAAAGAATTTCAACTAGTCTTCTATTTGCACAGAAGAAGAAGATTTGATTGGTAGATGGGTAATCTTTTTAATAAAAAAATGATACAAAACCTTTAAAGGGTCTTCTGCATATATATCATATGAAAGGCTTTCTGTGTCGATAGAAAGTTTTCAAGTAGTTTTTGTCTATACAAACTCTGTACATATTTGGGAAGTTATTGTGTTTAAAAATAGGCCATAGAGCGGTATTCTGTCTCTTCAAACGTCTGTCTTAACATGGCCATAAAGAGTCTTCCATCGGTTTGCCTCAGAAAGACATTTTCATGCTCTTTCTCCTAAGGAATCGTTTTTAAAGATAGTTTTTTTTTAATTAAGGTCTTTTAAAAGGCTTCTGTCTAGAATACCTTTGAACAATTATCTGCCAATGAAGGAGAACTCCAGAATGTGTTCGGTCAAGACAAGACCATTAAATGTTTACTGAACTCATTTTTATGAATGACTTTTTCATAGAACGCATTTTAAAATCTTTTTTCTATAGAATACCTTTGAAATACCTTTTGTTTGAAAACAATGTCGGAAAGATATCCTATCTACATCACCCTTTAGAGTGTTTTTTCTATAGAAGTCTTTGAAGCAGGAACATACTGAAATGGATACTGAAATCATTTTTTTGTATGGTGTATTTATTTCACATGCAAAATTATTTTTTTTTTCTACAAAGACCCCTCCCCCTCCCAAAGAAATGGTTTTGAAGTGCATTTCCGTGTACGTCCCTGCTTTGAAATAATCTCTTTCCTATAGAACTCCTCTTAAAACCAAAAACAATTTCCAAACTTCGCAACTCAAAATATTCCCCATTATGTTGTCACTTTTCCATTGTCTCTATGGCTTTGTTCACCACCGAAATTTAGCCGGAGCTTATTAAATATTAATTATCTTTTCAAAATCTAAAATTAAAATATTTTCCCAAACACAACAACAGCAGCAACAACAAAACAATGAATAAACAAATTTATGTGATTATTGGAATGAATTTTGATGATGATCGCATTTTAAAATGGTTTAATTATCTAAATAACATTATAATTTGTCGGGGCTATTATCCCGTCGCTCAAATGGTGATAATGACAACAACAGCAAATTATGGTTAAATAGAGTCATGGCTTTTGTTGTCTTGTGAAACAGTTGTTGTTTTTGGTGGTGCTGCTACTGGTGTTGTTATGGCTGGTGGCAATGTCAGTGGTGGTGATGGTGTTGGCGTTAGTCACTTTGTTGTGGTTTGTTGGCTTGTGGCCATAAAATAATAGCCGCCTGCTCTCCTGTTGCCACCGACACCGATGTCAGTCATCAGCACTCATCCATCCCACCTCCCGCGCTCGCTCTCATCACGCGCTGTCCATTGCTTATAATAATATATGGCGGTGTAATTAAATTCAATCAAATTTCAATTATTGAACTAATAAATTAACTGGCAATAAACACAAACTGTTTACCAGCAGAGCCAGCAACAACAACAACAACGACAACAGTAGCTACAACAATAACATGGGCAGCCATTCAACTGGCTGCCGTCACAATACGAGAAGCAGAAGAAGAACAATAATAGCAACACTAAAAACAACAATAATACAGTTTTGTACAAAATTAAGCTGCTTGTTACACACATACAATCAATCTGCAACACACACACACACGCATACATACGAATACCGGAGCCTTATATCCGCATCCGTATCCGTTTCCCGTAACAACACCTTCCTTTCCTCACAAACACACCCACACACATAGCCACACACACAAACAAAATTCATAAACATATACTTGTGTTTACATGGCAAAACCTAATGATATGTAAACGATGTTGTTAAATGCTTTACACAATTGCACATGAACAAACACACACACACCCCCCACCCCCCCACATATGAATAACATTACACACACACTCAATCACCCACACACACATATCCACATTGTATGAATTGTTTGATTTACAAAGTTATTTTGTGGAGTCTGATGAAGAGAGAGAGGGGGGGGGGAGAGCGATTTGACTGGTTATGCCTTTTATTGTTGCCCCAATGAAATCAATAGAATTAGGCTCCAATAAAGGCAGAAGTGGTATTTCAGGGGAATGGGGGGGGTTGGTGGTGGCAAAAGGACGCTTCCAAGTAATTCATTGAATTTCCAAGAACCGTAAATTACATCAACAAGTCTTCAATTGTAACATGTGTTGAACGGCAATGATTGAAATTATTTGAAAATATTTTGAAGTTTGTAAACGGTGCGGTTCAAAGAACGTTTAACGTTTTCGCTGGCTTTTCTGAAAATGAAGCAATAAAATATTTAGGTAAGGGTTAAATTCTATGAAAGTCCAGGCTCTGCTAAATAAGAAGATGCTCAAGAAAATTTGGAAATTCGGACTAAAATAGCACAAAAAGTACTTAAAGATAATGGATATGACTTCATTTGCATATATTTGGCTGGTAAAACTATAATTCGAAAATGACTTATCTTGTGGATTTTGGAAAATCTGTACGAACACTACGAAAAAAGCAAAAATATACTAAATATGTTACCATAAGTATTGAGCGGGCAGAGCTGGAGCTCTAAATTACTGCTGGTGATTTCTTCTACTGTTAAGAGGATCCTGTACAGAAGATATTTATGTCAATCTGAACTAAATGGCACAAAAATTGCTTAAATGATCATAGCACCTATTTTGAAATAACATGATGGACCTCTGGACCCTATTTTGAACTAACATGATGGATTTTTAAAAAACCACTCTAATTCGTGGACTTTTTAAGAAAATGTTTTCTTTGCTCAAATCATGTATTTATACCCTACAACACTATGT